TTCTAATTAACAATTAATGTGTAACCCGTCGAAATTATGACGATATTTTTCTGAAAGGATTTAGGCAAGCATCCTTACTTGCAACATTTTTGGTGTCCCCTCTGTGGAACTTCTTGTTCAATAAATTCACTCAACGAAAGAAACATTACCCTAACAAGCTGCTTGTAAAACAAATTGAATACGGAAACTAGCAGTGAAGCCAGCCACGAACGAATCATCGTACAAAACGAAGAAAATTCTGAAACAGACAACTATCAGGATCAAAAGTCAATAAATGAAAAAGATGACAAAATGGAAAACGATATGAATGCTCTTATCCAAGCCTTGATAGCGCTCACTGATGCAATGAATGCAGGAATAACTCGACGACCAGAAAAGATTCTTATTCTGATAAAAAAATTCTGAGGTGAAAATCAAGACCCGATAGAGTGACTCCACGATTTTGAAATTGCTACCTGCGCTAATGGAATTACCAACGAAAGGAAAATTCAGGTTGTATGAGGATATCTCGAAGGAACTGCTGCCATCTGGTTTGATCAAAGAAATACTGACGACAACCTACGACTAAATGATTGGACGAACCAAAACCACGATAAACATGACTTCAAGTATCAATTCACCTCAAAATTTCAAACGAACAGAAAAGTAGAACAATGGCAGGAAGAGTTAGAAGTGCTAAAGCAAGAAGGAACCGTGGAAGAATACACTAATCGATTCGTCCAACTCTTAAAGAAAGTTGACCCCGATGACCATTATCCGGCAGACTACAAGACCCACGCATACAAACGAGGACTCAACCCAGAGATTAGGAGGTGGGTCCACATAAATTCAAACGGAACATGGAATAACGTCGTGGAAGTGACCAAAACTATCAAAGAAGCTGGTACGGAAGGATCGACTAAAAATTATCATCAACTCCAATCAATACCTTCAACCGATCTGAATGCTCTCAATCAAACGCTCCAAACCCTGGTCAGTAAATTAGAACAAACAGAAACCATTAGGAAACCAACATACTCGCCAAGAACATATGAGCAGAGCCATAATCAACAAAATTCTACTAATTGCTTGGTTTGCTACTGATGTGGTCAACCCGGTCACATATCCTGACACTGTACAAATTTGCCAAACAACAGTAACAATCGAATAAATGGTCACCCAAACTCGCGATCAATGTATAATATAAATCCGGCATTCAAGAATAACGCTTCCTTCAAATCAAACAAAGTAATTACAAACCAAGCTCCAACAACAAACAATAATAATTCGACCAACACAACTATGCTTCTATCACAAATCCAAGCGTTGGCAACTACTTTACAAGCAGCTCAGAACTCCCAAACTAATACTTTAGGTGTGACAACATCGTTACTGTTCACGCATGAATATATGGCAGGAAGGAAACGAACAAGACTAAAATGAGAAGATAATCCACAAGATGATACAGATCAAATCATTGAGCAAGACAATGTACCTAATGAACAAAATGTCAATCAAAATCCAATCGAGAATAAACCCGAGGAGAAGAAAAAAAAAAGAAAAACAGGATAGAATTACCTGTATTAGCCTCGCGCGCAGTTCTCTACGACATACTGGAGGGTCTTGCCATCACTAAGGCTAACATAACGATTACCCAACTTATTAAGACTTCTCCAGAACAACGGATCAAAATGTCGAAAGGAATGCAACGACCTATAAAAAGAAAAGTCATAAGAAAAACTACTGGGATAGTAGGACACATTAATAAGAAAACCACCTCAGCCTGGTGTGAGACCAAGATCGGAACAACGCCTATTGATCTTATCATCGACACTGGAGCCTCAGGATGTGTAGTTAGCCATGACTTCCTACAAAAACAGAACATAAAGATCCAAAGGAAATCGAACATTACCATGACGGACATCAACAGGTTATCAAAACAACCTCTCAGAGCAATCGACGACTTCCTGATTACTGTCGATGAGATTACAATCCTAGCCGAAGTCGACGTGACTGAAGCAAGAATCTTCAGTGTACTGGTCAGAATTAAGGATGCTTGCCTAAATCCTTTCAGAAAAATATCGTCATAATTTCGACAGGTTACACACTAATTATTAATTAGAATTTTGACATAATTTCAGTTACGACGAGTTTTAAAATTTGTCAGAATTTTGACAGGTTATTTACTAATAGTTTGACAGTCACTAAGAGATTTCGGCAAGCAATCTTAGTCAGAATGGATTAGTTGAATAAAGTAAACGCGAATATTGACATTAAGAAAGGAATAATGACGCTTGAATGAGAAGGACAGAAAGGAAAAGTCACCATCAAATATATTTATGGGCAAAAGAACCAAATCAATATGAAAACTGACACCAGCAACTTTGAGTTATCCAACGACGAATCGACCCAAAGTGATTATGAAATTGAAGAACAACAACTGGAAGATTGAAATTTTTTATGCTGGCGCTCTGACGATCTCTGGACTAAGATTCTGACACCCATCCGAACAATCAACGAAATCGATTTCAGGAAGGTTCCTCGTCATGTAATCCAGGAAGTACCAAAAATAAATGAATTACAAATATATAAAGAAGGAATTAAAATAAGAAATGATACATTCACTTGGAACAAGTACACTCGTTTACAGGCAAAGTTCAACCAAACTCCTTATCAAAACTCCTGATGGAAATTCGATTGGAAAGGACCAGCCAATTGTTGATGCCGACAAAGACTTGCAGCTACTAAAGAATGTCAAAAATGTTACCAAGAATTAATTATCTGGATCAATGTGAAACTCCGAATTCCCGATAACATATCAATGATCCTCGACGAAAATCCAACTAAAGATTGGTGGATGGAGGTGGAGTACCAATGACTTTTTGATAGTATTCCCCCCACCAAAACCAAATTCCAAACCCAGGAAGCTGCTCTTATATATCTACAACACAAAAGAAGGACTACCCAATGCCACGGCTGCAAATATTTTGTTGATGAACTAATGACAGGGATGGTTTTTGAACAAGATAGTTCAAGAAATACATATTGCCAAGATTGTATTGAAAAGGAAAGACTGAACTTACCAGTATGCACTCAATGTGGACATCACGCTCCTGCCGCTGAACTGTATGGAATCAGTAGTTACGGTCCAACAAAGTATTTTTGTACTTATCTAGAACAATGTGTCTACATATTTAATCACAGTGGCTGGAGAAGAAATAACAACACAATCCGAAAACTACGAAACGAAAAGAATCTACTAATAGTGTACCAAGAGTGTAATGAGATTGGGAAAGCGATTCTATCCCATTATATTACCGAGTATGATGTAGAAAATGAAATACAATACATCAATTATAACAGATCCGAGGAAGTCTCCGCGACCGAGATCTTTACTTCAATATATCAACAATTATCTCCCATACGATGCCTCCAGCTGGCCTGATTAGAATATATTAATATCAGACTTTGTTCTGATTGTTTGATCCCATGTGATCTCGAATAATGTGACGACTGCTGGCAAGACTCGAGAACAGTCGAACAAGACAACTAGAAGAAAGTTGAATTTAATTTGACAACTGACGAATTCGGGGAAGGAAGTGAAATCCAACCCGACAACGTCACAAAAATAATCCAAACAACAGAATATGATACTAGCAGCAATTCAAGTAGTCGGATAACTAAAACAAAAACGAATGAAAAATTTGATATGAAAGATCACAAGAAACCAACTGATCTTACCAAAAGCAATAATTATCTAGTGAAAGTCTATATCAACGAAGGAAAAGGGAGAATGCCTGAACGAGCACACATTACTGATGCTGGCTTCGACCTATGGTATTCCAAAGAACAGACTATTCGCATTAATCCACAACAAACAGTTCTAATTGATCTTCAGGTTGCCTTTGAAATCCCTGCAGGAACCGTTTGTCAACTAATGTCCTGATCCTCTTTAGCTAAACGCAGAATTGAAGTAAAAGGTGAAACTATAGATACGAAATATACAGGAAACATAGGAATACTATTATATAACAATTCGACCCAACCATACGACATTCAATCCAAGAAACGGATAGTTCAGGCTGTATTTCTCAGATTGGCTGATATCGCTGAAATGCGAGAGGTCACGACAAGACAAGAGTTGCAAAGATCAAGCTAAGGAAATACTAGATTTGGTTTCACAGGCCACGATGAATTAGAAATCTACTTCCTCGATAAAGATCAAAGTAAAAAAGTAATAGAACAAAGAACATTAACACAACAACAAACAAAAAAACTAAAAAAATTGTTAAAAACATATCAGGATATCTTTGCTGCTGATATGACTAACTTGGGTCAAACAAATCTTGTACAGCACCAGATCGATACTAATGACGAAAGGCCAATCTGACAAAGAAGCTATCAAGTCACATTGCCAGATCAGGAATTCATACGCGAAGAAGTACAAAGAATGCTAATGCAGGAATCATACGACAATCCAACAGTCCGTGGGCTTTGCCTGAAGTCATAGTTAACAAGAAAAATGGGAAGAAGCGTTTCTGCGTAAATTATCGAAAGATTAATAATATTACAAAAAAAGATGCATACTCTTTACCCAGGATCGATGAAATGCTGGATAATTTAGGCCACGCAAAATGGTATTCATCGCTAGATCTGACCAGTGGATACTGGCAAATCAGAATGAACGAACAAAGCATCGAGAAAACTGTTTTCATCTCCAGAGAAGATCTCTATGAGTTTCTCGTAATGCCATTCAGTCTCTGTAACGCATCTGCGACTTTTCAATGAGCAATGGACGCGATGTTAGGTAACTGTAATTGGAAGTACATGATGATTTACATTGATGACATCAACATATACTCCGGAAACTATAAAGACCACTTGCATCATCTAGAACAAGTATTTCAACGAATCAGGAAAACTGGACTTAAATTAAACTTAAAAAATGTAATTTTGTAAGAAAAAGTCTACCTTTCCTAGGCCACATCATTACCGAGAAAGGAATTTCGACAGACCCCTCCACTGTAAAGAAGATCCAGGAATTTCCACAATCATGTACGGTTAAATCACTTCGTTCGTTTCTTGGATTAGCCAGATACTATAGGAAGTTCGTGAAAGGCTTCTCCCAAATCGCTGCCCCTTTATTTCATCTGCTAAAAAATGATATAAGATTTACATGGGGAATGAAACAGGAAAAAGCTTTCGGAGAACTCAAAAAAAGACTCACCTCAGCTCCAATCTTAATATATCCAGATTTTACACGAAAGTTTTATTTATATACAGACGCCTCCGATACTGGATTAGGAGCAGTGCTATCACAAAAAGACAATGAGAATTGAGAACGCATAATTGCTTACGCGAGTGTCTCACTTAAGCCTAGAGAACGATGGTATAGTATAACTGAAAAAGAAGCATTAGCTATTGTATGAGCAGTACGTCAATTCCGTCACTACTTGCTCGGAACACTATTCGAGATTATCACGGATCACAGTGCTCTCCAATAGTTGTTCACCAAGCAAACTAATCCTGGGCCACGAGTTTCTCGATGGATCATAACCATGTTAAAATATACTTTTACAGTTAGTTACCATCCTGGAAAGTTAAACAAAAATGCAGATGCCCTCTCCCAAATGAACCAAAATTGAGCATCCAAAACCTGACAAAAAAATTTTAAATTAATATCAAAATAAAAATAATAATAACAGTAACAACAAACATGGACTTAACTACTTATTTTGACCTATTATGATACTTGGAAGATGGAAGCTATCCGATAGGATACAATGAAGACCAACAAAAAAGGATTAAAAATCAAGCAAAGCATTTTCTTACTTAGGATTAAGGTTGCTTGCCGAAATCTCTTAGTGGCTGTCTAAATTCTGTCGAAATTATAATAAACTATTAGTAAATAACCTGTCGAAATTCTGACGAATTTTGAAACCCGTCGTAACCGAAATTATGTCGAAATTCTAATTAACAATTAGTGTATAACCTGTCAAAATTATGACGATATTTTTCTGAAAGGATTTAGGCAAGCATCCTTACTTAGGATGGATGACTTTATAAAATAAACTAACGAGAAAAATCCAACAACCCTTTGCGCGTACTCAAAGAAACCGAAATCGATGCGGTCATCAAAAATCTTCATGCAGATCCATTATCCGGACATTTTGCATATGAAGGAACATTTCAATGAATTGTGATTAGATACTGGTGGTATAACATGGGAACCAATATCAGGAACTTCGTAAAGTCCTATGAGGCTTGTCAATGAACAGGAGGACGTCAGACGAAACAACCACTATATCCAATTAAGGTCGGATAACCCTTCGACCGGATAGTTATCGACCTTGTTGGACCATGTAAAATAACTACAAGAGAGAACCATTATTTAGCTATAGCTATAGATTACCTAACCAAATGGCCAGAAGTAAGAGCCATACCTAATAAAAAAGCATCCACAATCGTTCAATTTATTTTCGAAGACATTATTTGTCACCATGGTTGTCCTAGGGAACTTCAATCGGACCAAGGAACAGAATTTACAGCTTTGGTTATTGCTGAACTAACACGATCTTTCAATATTCATTATAAATTCTCCTCCCCTTATCACCCCCAAACAAATGGAATAGTAGAATGATTCAATCGAACGCTATGTACGGTCCTGCAAAAATATTGTATCGCTCTAAAAAATGAATGGGATGTGTACATCCCTGCTGCATTCTTCACCTACAGAACACTACGAAATTCAACAACACGTCATGAACTGTTTTTCCTAACATACGGACATGAAGCGAGACTTCTGATCGAACTGAAATATGAAACCTATCAAGAGAAAAATATTAGTCTAGAAGACCAAATGAAAAATAGAATATTCGCCCTAATCCACAGAATGCCTACCCAGATCCAAGACGCCAAATGAAACATCAATGAAATACAAGAAAGAACCAAATTACGACACGACCAGCAGCTTCATAAAGTCATTATCTTTGAAATCAGCGAAAAGATATTAATCTACAACCCTGTAAAAAAAAATAAAAGACAAAAATCAGGAAAAAATCCGGTTTTTTAGTTCCGGAAAATCACAGGTTTTGTA